TGGCGCTGCGAAGATCTCAACTGGGCGCGGAGAGCCGGCAGAAGAATCACGGGTCCCTGAAGAAAGCTTCATCTATCCCCACATTTCGGCAGATGATAATAGGGCTTTCAGCCTAACTGTGACTCCTCGTGTCGGATCAACGATCCGCTCAGCCTGCTTGCCAAGTCGATGAGTGTATCTAGCCAGAACTGCCCGGTTCAAAAGGGGTATCAGGGGCAAAAACATACAACAGAAGGGATTCGCTGGTGGTCACCCACCCAACTACTAACCTCCCGGCGTGTGGCTTGAACGCGGCCAGAAGGCGGGTGGGTGCCGTCCGGGTGAGCTAGCGGGTGAGGCCGCTTTACGATCGCGCGACCGGGGGTGAGTCAGGGTGAGTGCGCTTTAAGGGAGGGTGAGCGATCACCTCGGTCGCACGACGGGTCAGGCAATCCCCAAGTTGAAACCTTAATATCCACTTAGTTCTCGATAAACAAAAAGAATTGGTCTGATATAAAATTGCACCCACAAAAGAACTTCAACATTATACATATCAGGTATAGATGACACGTCATCTTATTATCTTCAACCCAACGCAGAGGGGGCCAAACAAGCAGCCGTGTGAGAGGACTGCTGTGCACGTTGAACATGTAAGCTAAGCATAAATGAAACAAACATACAAAACAAAAGCCATATATCATACTTTTAACTAACAGCCCACCTAAGTCTTGCAATCATTTAATCAAGAGAATATCCGAGAGGTTTTCAAGCCAGCATGCCTAAAACTCAAAGTTGAAGATGACAATGCAGGAGCTCAGCTGTTAATCATCATAATCACTATCTTAAGATGTTAATCGTTGATGCCACTGCGGAGTCAAGGATCGAATTCTGAATTTGTTTGCTATAACAAACAACAGAGCAAGCTTGCAGCATTTATAAAGCTGTAAAGCTAGATTTTCATCATTTATAAAACCAGTATCTTGCTACTTTTTCAATTCTTAGTGTCTATTTCATTCTCAGTATGCCTTCATTCCAATTTTTAGATCTCACGCTTAGAACTTCCAATAATTGTCAACAACAACTGTGGCACTTAACAAGCTACAAGCTACACCTAATAAGGTTAATGAAAATGACTTCACGGCTACTGTTTCCAAAATTGCAGCCCGTACCTACTGTCTCAGTCCAACCTCGAATTGACCTTGACAGAAAACCAAACATGACAAAACGTCGGACTATGGCTTGTAGATTTTGCCGTGACAGGAAGATAACTATCTTCCACTAAAATTCTCTTTCAAAGCTAATAACTGATTAGAATGTTAGTTCTCCAACTTGTGAAGCGTAATATATTCCTAGTCAAAATGTTTGTTTGAGCTATACAAGGACAGGCGCAGATAACTTGCTCTTGAACATGCAGAGAAGACTGTACATCAATACAAAGCTCTTCTTGCACACTTACTCTCTGTCATAAAGTCTGGACAAAAGGAGATATTCTGCCACTTGAACGTTATTTTGTCACAGTATTCCTCATTTGAGGAGTGTGTGGCGCGCCTGCAGTCAGAAATTGAGTTGAACAAGGATAATGAGAATCAAGAGTGAACAATATTATAACTTTGAGTATGTAATCTGACCTGACCAACATACTATGAGAGCCATTCTAACTTGTATGGATGATAGCAAATGATATTATTAATTAACATGCATCAGGAACTTTCAAGATCTCATCAATCACGTCACCAATCAATTGCCAACTCAAGTTCCTTTCAAACGGCTATCCTATCTATAATCTGTCTTTCCATTGCGTTTTCTTATTTCATTTGCAAGAAGTCTCGCTTGTTGGCACCGCTGTTCCAACTCCAATTCGTTATTGTCAGAACCCTTACGAAATCGGAAGACACTTCCATTTTCTTTACTCCCAATGTTGGTAGATAGATTGGGAATGTGCAGGAGATAAATCGCAGGTAGAGCTCCGAATAGACTCTTGTACCTATTCTCTATCAACTTTCGAAGTGCTTCCTCTTGACATTGAGCCCACTAGCTGCGCTGAATTGTCCTTGGATATCGCTTTGTCGATTTCAAATAGATCTGCTAATGTCGTAACCACCAGTTGATCGCTATCACCATCTGCGATGACCTCGCCAATTTTAAACACTTTTTGGCGAGACACTCCGGCTGCTACCTTGCTACGTCAAGGCACTGCTTCGATATCTTGTTATCTTCCTGCAATTGAAGCTTTCATCTTCGTTTCTGGAGGCCCCACTCAAGATAAGAGATCTTAACCGCGCTCGGCCGACAACGCCAAGATCTCCATCCGAGGAGACCTATAATTTCTGAGAAACTACTGCGGTTTCCATCTAAGGCCTGCCGAGTAAGTAGTTGCGCTTCGAAGGCATCTGTGACTCCATTTTGAGTATTCGAGAAAATTTCTTGAAGCACCGATTCTAGATTGGTAAGAAATCCGATATATGATCTAGCATCTTCACAATTGTTTGGTCACTTCTCTTCCATCCTTGAAGACTAGTTTGAGATTCGATAAGTTGTCATTTTCAGGAGCCAGTCGCGCGACCTTTTCATCGGTACACTTCAAGGTTTTATGCTATATCCCAGACCATCTCATTATATTCTTCGAGAACGTTGTAATTTTTGAGTCGTAGTGGCAAGTGCTTGCCAGTAGGTTGTAGAATTTGCCAATGGTAGACTAGGCGGCATCTTTAGTTTCAGAGGCTTCGGAAGAAGATCATGACACTATTGAATAAATTCTTCGAAGGTAGTTTAATAATTCCGTTTCTCTGCTTGCTCTCTCAGTATCTCCTCTTGCCTCCGTTCTTTCTCGGCTTTCTTTCCTACCTCCTCGGCTTTCAGCAATACAGCCATGTAGTCAACCGGATCCGACTTTGTCGTAAGGAGGTAGATCTATGGTGCATTAGACTATCTCTGCAGAGCCTTCTTGGTGGTTTCTCCTGATACCCCGGAAAAACATTCGTTTGGCCCACTTCCAGCTTTCCACGCCGGCGAAGAATAAAACAATCTCCACGCCAACTATTCCCCACTCCCATGATATACCAGAGTGCTTGAAGACATCATGGTCGATAACAGGGATGTATAGAACAGGAAATACCAAAACAAAACCTGCTATGATAGCCCAAAACCAAAATTTATTCCGCCATACATCGATTATCCATTGAGTGAGATACCGTTTCCTTTCGGAATGCATGCGGAAGAATGAACGGCGCATGTCAACCATTTCCCATGCAAGGAATAATGCAAACCAGGTAAGTGAGACAAATGTCGTTGCGCGTGCACGAAACACAGGTTTGCACTGGGGATTGGAATCTCTATTGCAGTTCAGGCCCAAGTCGCCGTCGCCGAAGCCCCATATCACTAGTGAGAACGACGAGAGACACAGCGCAGCCATCCAAGTGCCATAAACAACAATATCCACAACGACTTCCCACGTGAAAATACCTTTCTTCTGTGACATAGGATGTTATTTATGCCGACGAGCTTGGTCCCATGCAATGCTACTCACGCTTTGTGGAGGCCGGTCCATTATATCCAGAGTTGCGATTTCCATTCCAAGTCCCATGTCTGGCAGGCCAGAGGTAATCATGATGATCCAAAGAATCTCTACTGGTGATAGTGGAAAGAAAGACTGACTGGCCACTCTCATCCTTAAACGCGAGGCCAACCAGTAGCGTACACGCCTGCGCGACATTCTCTGATAAGAGGTGAAGCACAAAACGTTGAATGTTGTCGAAGATTCGACGACCTTTCTCAATAGCATTCAGAATGGAGGCAAAATTATCATCAGTCAACACTATATCCGAAGCATCTTTGGCCACATCCGAACCAGTCAGTCCCATAGCAATTCCCACATCCGCAATTTTCAGAGATGGAGTGTCATCCACACCATCTCCTGTCATTGCAACAAAGCTCCCGCGCCTGTGGAATGCGTTAATCATCTTGACTTTAGTCTGCGGCGCACAGCGGGCGATAACTCGAGGTAAAAGAGGAAGGGCATCAACTTCCTCGTCAGACAACCTATCAAATCGGTTGCCGGTGAAAATCATAGCCCCTGCGACATCCCCTGCGACTTGCTGAAAGTTGGGTAGTATACCCACCTGCCGCGCAATTTCTTCTGCAGTTCCAGGATGGTCGCCTGTTAACATGTGCACTGATATCCCAGCATGGTGACATATCTCCACGGCTCTGGCAGATTCTGGTCTGGGCGGGTCGTAGATACCGACCAAACCTAGGAAACAAAGGTCTGCTTCAACCTGCGCTTGGCCCTCTGTATCTGGTACAGCGTCTCTCTTCGCAAGGGCAAGGACACGAAGGTCCATCTTTGTTAGGGCTTCCATATTATCCATGATCCATTCACGATGCTCGTCGTCTAAGGTGCTCGGTGGAGAATTTTGTTCAACGACAATTTCGGAGCATCTCTCCAGAATGCGCTCAACAGCGCCTTTGCTGAATGCTACAAGCTTCCTCTCCGCTTTATTTTTGTATACAACAGCCATTCGCTTGATATCAGAGTCAAAAGGAAACTCTAACTTTTGCGACCGCTTTGCGTCTTCGCTCTTTGTCAGGCGATCGCGATCCCAGGAGAATCTAGAGGCAAAGACTTGAATGGCAATCTCGGTTGGCTCGCCCCGGGCATGCCACCCACTGTTCTCCTCAACCTCGTCGCCTTCATGCTTCTTCTTGAAGACGTGTGACAAATTCGCCAATGAGCAAACATCGAGGTATTCCTTGAGCTCTTTATTGTCGGTCAGCAGCTCGTTAGGCCTTTTCGTCCCTGTGGGCTTCTGCTCCTCTCATACGCTCCTTGGAGCTAATCCCTGGAAACTGGTCTCTCCCAGTGTTGGATTGAAAGGATCACTAGCGCCCTCAACAGTAAAAGTCCCGCGCGAGGCTACCCACGCTTTTTTCACAATCATTTTGCCTTGGGTTAATGTACCTGTTTTATCAGAGCATATATTTGCTATCGCTCCGAGTGCCTCGAGTGAGCTTAGTTTTCGGACAATGACATGGCGCTGCACCATTCGTTTTGTCCCAACTGCCATGGTGATAGTGAGTACAACCACAAGGCAGGCGGGAATCATGCTAAGCCCTGTTGCAACAGCGTAAAGAATCACCTCATTATTATTCCTCCAATAATTTGCACTCATAACCACAATAGCAAATATAACGGCGATACCGAACAAGACCACTGCAAGCCTCGATAACTTCTTCTGCAGAGAGGTTCCAACATTCAGCCCGAGAAAGCGGCCTGTTGTATCAGTAATAGTTAAGGTCCATGCTTGAACCTGCCATCTCCTCTTTGTCTCGCCACAAGGTCCAGTCTTCACTGGTCGGCGTTTTCGCTCACTGGCACGCAAAGCGGGAGCAATCTTTCCGATTTCTGTGTCCATACCTGTTGCAATAGCAATGCCCCTAGCTTTCCCTCTAGTCACAGTGCTCGAGCTATATGCGATATTCAGGCGATCGCCGGGCCCTATATCCTCTTCAAACGTTGCCTCGGCGTCTTTCTGAACAGGCAGAGGTTCACCCGTCAAGAGGGCCTCGTTTGTCTCAAAATTGAGAACCTCGATTAGTCTGCTCGATATGACTTAGCGCGGATTCTATCTCTAGTACTTCAGGCCACAGCAAGCAACAGCCGCCACTCAAATCAGCCGGAATGATTTCTCCTGTCTTCACATCAACAATGTCTCCAGGGACGATTTCAATGGCAGGGATGATGACTGTATGACCGTCCCTAGATACTGTCCCGCTAGGCGTTGTCAACGATCGCAGAGACGCCATCGTCTTCTCCGCCGCGTACTCCCGGAAAAAGCCAACGACAATATTCAATCCAATAATGCCAGCAATAACACCACCCTCGATCCAAGATTGAATGCCAAAGCTGACGGCCATCGCTAGTATCGATACCTGCCAGCAAATAGTGTCAGAATGATGCATTTCTGAGCTTCGTTCTTCAGCGGAACTGAATTCTGCGAACATAAGGAATGATAGAAGCAAAAAGGAAAGAAGGTAAGCCGAGAAAAGTTGAAGAAACAGCAAACACGAAAAGCCCATATTCAACTCACAAGCATCATCGCGTTCGCAATTTGCCGCAGAAGTATTTTTCCAATCGAGATACCTTCGCCTTCCTCCAGACGGATTTGTCCATAAATGTCCAGACGTGAGTGGGCCTCAAGGCTTGTGAGCGGGTCATCTGCGTCAGATGAGAGCTGTTCTAGGACTGTGGTATAGGACAAGCAGTGAGGAGGCTGTCTCAGTCCTAGAACTCGGGTTTTTTCAGTGCATTGACGTAGGCTCTCCATCGCGGGCCAGTTAGTTCTTATTTCTCAGAGGCGCAAGCCTGTGATAGATTTAAATAAGAGTGTCATCACGTTCCTGTGCAATACCTCTATGGTTAGAGGGAAAGAGCAGTATGTTTCTCCAAACACAACGCCATACCCTGCTCGGAAAAGTGTTCGTTTTAATGCTCGGAGTCATACTGATATCATTGCCAGCTAAGCAGAAGCTGTTATGACATAAGGTGTTTGCTAAACTGCAGGTTCTTTGGTTCAATTATGGCACCCGCCAATAAACTTTATCCTTTACATCATGGACAACTCAGGCTGAAGACCTACTACGTCAAGGTGATTACTGACCTCTAGATTGAGTATCCTATTTTTCGAGCACAAGCTGGATCTCTTACCCTGGCTATTATGCGTACCACTAGTACAAATTATGGATAGGTTCTGAACCACAGTTTCGCACCCCCGCCCCAAGAAAGGATGACTTCATCTGGAAAACTACAAAAATGTCTGAATTCATAATAAATCCTGCAGGGAATCTCTAAGTTAATTAGTTCCGGAATCTTCTCATTCCAGACTTAACGAGATGCAAGGTGATTCTTCAGCACTAAACACCATATGGACATCAAGAGAGCTAATGCTCATGCTGGTAATTCTCCAATAACCAGCAGTATGAGTTTCGAATGACATTCCTTTTAGGGAGGACCATTGGCTACTGCTTTGTAGGGGCCGTACCTGTCGTTATATGTATAATTATCATCATTTTGAAGCTGAAATCCTCTCGAAGAGCTCGGTACCAGTCTTCAGACTCAAGTTCAAATCTTAGGAGTCCCAGAGCTCCGGCCACCTACGGAAGGAGTCGAAAAAAAACTCTATCGAGAACAGCTTTGGACGAAATACCCATATACAGGATTGAGAAATCCCCCGGCAGTAGAAGACGCAGCAGCAGTCCTGATATGGAAAGAGGAATCTCCTGCCAACGGTCAAACACCAACCGGCCCAGGTGCACATTTACTTTGGAGCATCCCGACCAAGACCTTGTACTAAGGGAGCCGATTAGCTCGGTAGGTGGCTCTACGACAATGTCCTTATTCACACGATAAAATCACGCCTAATTCTCAATAGCATGCTTTATGCGGCAGCAGCGATTTGGTTTGTGCTATCTGCACCGAGAATTACACAGAAGGCCAGCTCGTACGCAGTCTTGCTTGTCACCATCGATACCATGCGAAATGTATAGATGACTGGTTAGTTAATGCAGCAGGATCTTGTCCTCTGTGGTACGTTAGGCGTGCATGTTTCAGGGCTTCTTCAGAAACTCATTTGGTTCTAACTTAATTTTATTAGCCGCATGGATTTGTGCAGAACACGAACTTCAGAGGTCAGTATGCAGCAAAACTTCCCCGTTCAACCTCGCCGGGCGGTTACCGCTTAGCAAGCGCATTTGTGTCAGAATCTTCTTGGAAAACCAAGAAACGATTCTTTTCAGGATGAAGGTGTTGCCCCTATATTACTCTCCGGGGCGATTGAATGATCAAAACATATCATATAAAAATCAGCACAAAAGATACGCGAAAACCAATGGAGAAGGATCCGTCATATTAAAAGAAACTCGTAAAAGAGCAGGATCGTTAAGGTAGCAAGTACCAGGGAATCAGCACGTCAGAGAACCGAACCAAGTTCAGCGTTGAGATCTTAGGTTTACGGAAGTGTATACTGAATCTGAGTTGGGCTATGAGCAAACAGCCTGCGACGAGAGACGTTCTTAAGTACTGACTAATATACTACTATGTGCTCACATAGCTAGCTATTTCTAGGTTGCGCCCTGGTTTATTACAGATACTTCGAAACTTATGTGCATCATGTGATCAGAAGAGGATCTCCCATATCGAAACACATTGAGCAGCTAGTATGTCCCAGTTTATTTCCGGGGTTTTGGGTAGCGGGTGCTCCATAAAGCCTACGAGTGTAGGAATCACCGACGGCGATTCATGGTGTCTACCACGTAGTCGCGCCAGGGACGGCATTGACTGCCAGGGTTGAATGTGAAGATTTGGCTGTTATGCTTGACGGTTAGACAGTGCAATGTCTGCTTCGCACGAGGGGAGGAGTCGGCAGGCATGGTCAAATCTGAAGCAATAGCAGTCGACAGTCGATAGCTGAAGACCCACAAGCTGACTTTGTTCAGCCCAATAGAATCGTTAAGATTTCCAACCATTTCCTCGTATGGCAAGTGGTCCGATATACTCGGATTAAGTAACAGTAGGGCTGAAAAGTTAGGTCAAACCGAACAGCAGTCTCTCTCAATTGAAGAAGTTTACTTCCGGGGATTTCCACTTTTCTATGAATTTTGCCTCTGGATATCGAGGTCGTCTTTCTCGTGCAGCATATTTTCGTGTAGCATAAACCGTCGCGTGTCCTGTAAGCCGGAAAAATGTCCTTGTAGTACATCTTGTACCAGGTCTTCCAGCTGACTGCACCGAATCGCGTTCTGAAGCGAAGCTCTGAAGGTAAGATTCGAAAGGTATATTCACATTTGTCTTTTCTGACTGGGTTCTGTTTTGATGTTCTAAAAGTTTTCTGAATGGATTAAGTCGAGTAAGCTTCTCACCAGTTTTTCCTTTGCTTGGTTTATGTGGATTTCAGCCTAATGGACTGCAGAATGAAATACAAGGTATTAAAGCCAGCATACGCCCCAGCGAAGCATTTTTTGACAAAAAGAGAGAATAAATCTGACGCCTCCAGTACAGCATCTTACATCTTACTGAACACATTTTTTAGTTTGAAAATTCAAGTACAATTTCTCTAGGTCGCAGCGCCAGTCCACCGGCAGTGCCGGGTTTCCGCGCGATACGATCTCGCTGTGGGAGACTTTATTTCTGCATATATTCTTTAGTTAACTCATTGTTTAGACTATTATATCAGCAAGTTGAGTTTCGCGCGACTCAGAATTGAAATAAGCATACTATATTTCACCTCATTAGCTGGAAGCGCATATAGATTATCTTGTCACAAAAGCGCTGCCTTATGTTCGGAGCACGAATCTAGTGGCGCGGAGAATATTAGACCATTGTGCTATCATTGGATTCATCACTTATCCGCTTATCCTTCCCCACTTTCTTGGAGAATGTTGACAATTGTTGTCATTCTTCAACCAGCCCTCACTTACTAATAATGACACTCTTCTCAAACATTCGCTTATTACAGCCATGTCAGAGCCAGCCGACTACAAGGCCCTATTTCTGAATGCCGAGGAGGAATCAAAGAAAGCTGAGGAGAGAACAAGGGAGGCAGAGCAAAGAGAGAATCAGCAGTAGAAACAAACTCACCAGACCACTAATCTTTTTTAAGATCTCACAAAGCAGAAGACCCTGCCCAGTCTACCACTAACAAGATTATGTCCCCTACGGACAAGTACTGCTCACTCGGACTAGAACCCTGAATGGTGCCTTTACGTAACCACCAATCTACAATTCGGTTTGTCAGTACCTCCATCCCTTAGGCAGAAAAGCACGGCGATTGTTTAGTTTCTGTATTGTATCAGAAGAATATGGTCAGTGATTTTTCGATTGATTTACTACGAGTCAGAAGGATGTGGAAGTTTATGAGTGTTTTGCTTTGGAACATCAAATGTTCTGGTATCGTCCCAGGGATGTGTGAAATACCGAGTGCTCGGGAGGACGGTTTAGGAGATTAAGTGTGGTTCGACAACCACGCCAATGCTGTTGACGAAAGCCCGCCTGACGAAGCAGATTCGAAAGAACGACCGGCGCGCCCGACAAATTCTGCTTCCTCCGTGTTGATGAGATACCTATGTATAAAGTAATCTCTGATGCCGTCACTGCACTGAGAGACAAATCTTTACTCTCTCAATTAGGACGCGAGAAGACGGTCGGTCAGGAAATCAAGGTATTGTCTGTATGTTATCGGTCGGCTTGCCTATAATGCTTAGTAGATAATTAGTTACGCTTCGATTTTCGACTAACTCTCTTCAGTCTCTTATTCTTAATAAGTATGTCTGACCTCGCCGTGGGCTTTCTAATATCACAAGTCTGAGCTAAAACATATTTCTCCAGTGAATCGCCCCGCATGTACGGTCAAAAAGCACTAGCCCCTTCGGTCAGCCTAGAAGCCCATGCCTGATCCCATCGATTTTTGCGGAAGGCTTGATCCATTCCACCACAGAGTCAAGCTGCAGATGTACGCCGGGTTTGTACGTAAGATATCACTTTCCGAATTATTTTGGGATTTGATGGAATGGGAAAGCTTTACTATGGAATGCATGAGTGTGCTAGTACAATGGGGCAGATCGGCTACAGGCCAAGATACTTTTTTTCTCTTATTCCCCGCTTTTTTCCTACGCTGGTTGCATGAGGTATGTACGTAAGTTAACAGCGACGAGTGCCTTACATAAGTTATCTAAGCCCCCAACGGCGAAACTTACCGACCAATGACAGTAGAGTAAACTACATCCTAATTCATGCTAGTCTCCGTACAAGTAATCGCTGCAACTAAGTCAACGATCGTGGTTACAGGTCAGCTGGGTCATTAAAATCGTTCGTGTGGTTCGAAATGGCTTAGTAAGCGGGTTTCAGTCACGTGATGCTCACACGAGGCGTTACCCATAAGAAAACTAGATTTCGAACCACACTACCTTTTTCAATACTCTTACACCCCTAATGTAGTTACCCTGATGTAGTTAAGTACTTAAAAGTACTTAATAACTACTTAGCAAGTATTTAACAATATTATGGTAACTACATAGGGTAATTACATTAGGATTTTAAGGCTGAAGGCCTTAGCATTAGGGTAAATATATTGGGGAATACCTTATATACTTTTTTATATTAGGGTAGTTGGGGTTTATCTACTTAGTAAGATATATGGTATTAATTCCTTTACATACTAGAACTATGAAATTCATGATTATTTTACAGTAATTTATAAGGTCGTGTGGTTCATCCCTGCTTACTATATGGCTTGGCGTCACGTGTGATCAGGAACGACTCACATGAGCCATAGACCAGGGTCGTGTGACCTGTGTACACTCAACGATCCAGCCACAAAGTCAAGCTTGTATTATATAAGGCTGCGCTTCGGAAAGAGACCAGTGGACACTTGCGTTGCCAGTCTGCAAAAGCCAGTGGCATCACAACTTTGATTTTCAAGATCCCAAGATACTCTAGTCCATGCCATGGTGAGCTTCGTCTCTAGAGCAACAATAATCACTGTCCCCTTCCCAACGTGATCAAGCTATGCTTAGAGTGAGGAAGGAGAAGAAAGTTTTGATCTCTTGCCGAGGTAAAGGATACGTATTACTATTTTCACTCGTTTATCTGACATGCATTGAAGCTAGATCGCCCACTGGAGTGAAATCAACTGTCTTGTTGTTTATATGACAGCGACTCGTGAAGCTGGTGATTCAGAATCATGTCGAACCATTCCGGAGAGTTCAGACGCCTTGAAAACAATGCCATCATTTCTAAAGAATTGAAGCTCTCAGATGGTTAGCCAATGATCCCACACTTCAGGCAAAATCAAATTATTCTCTAGGTTATATGATCAAGGCAAGCATACTGACCGTTCTACGCTGTTCGCAATAAAAGGGATAGTTTTCGATGTTAGCGACAACCCTGCTTTTGCTCCTCAGGGTTGCTATCATAGTATTTCTCCTGGTCTTAGTCGTGCAAGAGATAGGTCATATTAACGACTCTTATCTATCTAGAATATGCTGGAAAGGATTCATCCCGCGCACTTGCTCTATCTTCAAACCATATTGAAGACTTGAGATCAGACTATATCGATCTGGTGATTTGGAGAGGACCATACTCGATGAATGGTTTGATCATTATTCGAGAAGATACAAAGTTGTGGGAAAGGTGTTAGACTCGTGGTGTACTGAAGGGGACAAGTTCGTTGTAAATTCGTGAAGTCTGACGAAAGCTGCGGTGTTTTTTGGGTTTAAAAAAGACGATCAAGCTACTATGCAAAAGTGGTGGTGCATGCTATATCTGATCTTCTCATTCTTCGCAAGTATGGTCTAAGACTGGCCGACCGTATTCAATAAAAGAAAAGAAAAAGCAAAGCTGAAAATAGCGTTACAACCCAGTTGTAATCCTATCTGACCACCATAGTGAATGTGTTATCCTCTCAAATTGGTCTTTCCAGTCACAATGAAAAAATCTTTGAAAGTAAACTCGCTTTGACGAAGAGTCCCGCTGTAAATAAATCGGGTAATTGCAGCACTCTACAATCATAAATAGCGCATAACTGGAATGAATCTAATGCTCCACGCGTGATAAATACTGCCTTGATATCTCTACTATACTAGTCTATAACCTCGAACTTCGAAAGTCCCTAGACCCGAGGACCGATATGAAGCGCTGCATCTTCTTACAGCATATGGTTTGCTTGAGTAAATATGGTAAAATAGACCGAATACCACCTATGAACGGAAAGCATGTCTCCTCCAAAGCCTCATCCAATCAAATGAGCTTTCATAGCCCTTTAATTCGCGTCGAGACTTTTCGTCTGTCTCCAAGCAGGAAAACCTCTGTCCCTTCTCATAATCTCCAGAGATATGTCTCAGTGATTCCCATCCACATTTACTATCAGTATTATTCTCTTTCCTGCAAGTCGTAGGCTTTACCGTGGATGTTGAATCGTTGAGGACAGCACTGCGACATTCCTTCGAGCAAAAAAGACCACCTTTTGTGATACTCTCACAGAATAAACATGTGTGCGACGATTGCGACAAGGACATTCTGTCACTTAATTATCTGTTTTAGTAAAATAGTTACTTGAAGCAAGAAAGAACAAACTTACATCGGCAATTTGATATTTGCAGTGTTTAGTTAAGATAACTTTGTTCCAAGTACTGATTTGGATATCCAGAGGATTTGTTCTCTTTGTCTCCTTTTCACCGAGATCTTCAGGAATGAACACTGCAGGAGGTCATAAATGTGATCAATGAAAACGATATGAATTATAAAGTGGTGTATATTGTTCCAAGATTAAAGGTTTGCCTGCGGAACAGTTTGTATAGGTAGTCTTGGGGTCATACTCCACTACCAAGATAAACCTTTAACCACTAATTTGACTGGCAAGAATGAACACGTAGCTTGCGTTCCACAGAGTCTGGAGTCCTGGAAAGAGCACGGATGATCAAAAGTGGCTCCAAGCGACGAAACCTTATATATAACCCCGCAATCTCGGCTGGCCAGTGATACGTTAGATAACGTAATACTAAATTTCAAGGCGTATCTTTAGGGGCGGCGTGGTTTATTAGCAGGGTCGTAATTCAACCACGAAAGTAACTACTAGACAACTGCTGCGGGAAACTGGTTAAATAGCTAAAACTCTATTTAATTGAATTCCCGCTTTGGAAGTATGAACGTCATGATGAGATAGAAGAAGATTACCAGATGACTATTCTACGTGCTCTACTTATGGCACCATTAGATGTCACGTCAAGGGTGCTTGAGCTGAATTTGATGTAATAAAAATAAAGCAGAGCGGGGAGACTGTTTCCTTGCCGTTCTTCGTATTGCTAAGCTATATTATTATTATCCTCTGCCCGGTGGTCAGGTCTTCCCGTTTATTCCTGTCATTTAGATTCTGCAGCCTCACGCGCATAAACCCCCTGCACCGGAAACGTCCCTATTAATAAGATTTAATCGGCAGCTCTACATCCCACCTTCTAATATCAGTGTTGGCTCAGTAATACCTTTCTTATCGCAACAAAGGTACTCGTGACCAGTTCAAAGTCACGGCTAAAGAAAACCTTAGAAGTGCATTGCTCGAGAAGAGGTAGCCATGGGAAAAGAATGCGTCCTTAAACGCTTCTCACGATGGTATTGGCAGGCGTGGATGGTCGGTGGTTCAAGGGCTTCAGAAAGCATCCCTGAGTTTCCCGACACGCAAGGTTCACAATTACCGAGCGTTCATCAAGATCTGCCAGGATTGGCGCAACGAAGGTCTGACACCATAGGTACTCCATTTGCTTAGCTCGAATTTGGCAGAGGGCTTGAGGGACTACTCGCTAATGGTCCTGCCCTGAAAAGTCACCCATGCATGGCATGCAAGGCTTGGGGTGTGCCGTGCAATCAACAGCGGCCGCGCTGCACTCACTGTCTCGAGCAGCAGCTCCTCTGCTTTTATGTGGTTCGTGCTCCGAAATCATCGAAAAAGTCAAGATCGAAGGAGGGACTCAGTCACATGAACGATTGATCCAAAGCCATATCTTTCAGGTGAAGTGCTATCCTGGTATAAAAAGTCGATGTCTGGTGCTGATTTAATTGGATTGTTCTTTCATAGGAATAAGGTAGAATTTTAAACGAAACACGAACGAGATAGGAGAATTAGGATTATTGTCAGTCAAGGTATCGAGGCAAAGAGGAAAATCAAAAGAATACGAGCGACGCAACAGTCGTTTGGCGGAACAAAACGTCAAACTATAGCGTGAAAGTGGTCGGTTGATGCTTGGGCAGCTTAGATACATTCAGTAGCTTATATAGTGGGTGCAAGAGTGACTGTACAGAAATAAGGTGTGTCCTCTTTCCTCGCTAAGCTGGCTTAATACTTTGAAAACTCCAGATATAGTCCATGCCTAGCTTCGGAATGGCTCAGAGAAAGTTCTCTTCATATTGTTGCAGCGAGTTATCCACCTATAACTAACAATGCCATTCTTGGGTAGCACTATCCGATTATGTTTGCAACCACCAAACGCTTAGATTATCCGGCACGGTGTCAGGCTTGTGCATAGTACTATCTCGAGATTGGACTCGTCCTAATAACCTTAAGAATCAAGTCCAAACGAACGCCATAAAAATAATAGCGAATTCTTTCCGTCCTTCTGATATATGGCTGATACCACCACACTATATTACTTTGTCTCTTTAAGAGGCAAGGTCCCGTAGCTACCATAGACCTTTATCCGCAACTACCGCAATTTCTTGCTTGTAAGAAGTGGTTGGAGTCAATCATATAGATTCTTTTCTCCTCGTATATCTTCTTGGTTTCAAATATCGTCGCAGCAGAAAAATGATGCAGCAGCGTTCAGGATTCGACCCGGATGATATATCTGCGGATGTTAGAAACAAAATACGCAGACAATTGCGCATAAGGGTACTTACCATATTTACAGCCAGAGTTCTTCGGAACACTTCGAACTCGCCGAGGTTTCACCGAAATATCTTTCGACTCACACTTCTCGTGTAAGAAGTTGGCAATACTATAGCCAGTATCGTTATAACATTGATTCTGGAGGGCTGCGGCATCTGGATAGAATTTTTGCGATTGAGAACCTGACAGTCTAGAGAGGCTAGGCGAGGCAAAGTGTTCACTGGCCTGGGTGAATCAGCAACAGCGATGCTCAACGTGAGGTACACCGTACGTAGGGTTCGTAGTTTGATTTGTACATCATCGACGAATGTAACGTGCTCGATATTTCTTAGCGGGGCAGACAATCACCCACGGCTTCTAATGTTTGAATGTGAGAGAGCATTAAGCAACCTTATAGAGCTCGGAGGGTTCCAGAATCTCAATCAAAAGAGAAAAGCGCTCCGTCAATAAGCTGTTGGAAATACTAGATATGTAGCATGTAGAACTCCGTCCTCTACCAAATGAACAATTGGATTCGTCGGAGAGCCACCAAGATTCTAGGGGGTTCCACAGAATTAGCATCCAATCTATCTTGTTTTTCGACCACCTACTTATTTACCTAGAGATAAGACTAAATAAAGCACGCCAAAATAGTGTTTTAAGTCAGACTCGAACAAATGAGCTTCCTATGACCACCTTCTTAAATGCCATCGTCTTCGTACGGCTTTCTCCCTCTGACCGTTCACGTCAAAGCCTAAGGTCAGATTATCTAGTCATCCAGTTATGTATGGGCTTGAATCAACCTTTAGCTACTGAACAATAAGGCTTTTACCACAGATGCAAAAGCTACATCACACTATAAGGCACGCTTCAATCAGATATTGGTATGTCAAAAGTTAGTGTTGGGAAGCAAATATGGTTAATAGTGCAAGCCAAGAACGCGTCACTGATCAATTCAAGGAGTTTTATCTGGGCGTCACGTATAATCTCAAATAATTGCAAAGTTAACAAGAGACTTAGACATGTGCTAAAACTGATACCACTCAATGCACAAGGACGTGCTACTGCACTTTCAACCGATCAATGACATTGCGCGATAAAGTGCGGAGCAGCTGCACCCTCCAATCAACGGATAAATAGTCGCAGAGGTTATAGATGCCAACTAAGTTAAAAATCAGCGGCGAGCTCAAGTTGCTCCGAGGTAAGAAATCGCTTGATAGCTTCATCATGACATAATGGTTTTGAAAGAAGTATGGTTTAATCTGACTGTGGAAGAATCAGTCCTCCAGATTTGCAGTTTCGGAGAGTTACGTAAGTCTGAGGTTATCCATCCGAATCTGCGCAGATAACTGATAGTTTCCTAATAGGATATTGAAGGAATGAGGCCCATATCCCCTCAGATCCAAAGTTAATCTGTGGCCTGCCAGATTTCCCACGAAAACACGTCATGAAGATGGCACTATCCAATGATGGTTCAAGCCCGCAACGAACCTATATTGCTGGCTCGCCTTACCTGCCATCTCGAAATATTATCTAAAGACTATTCCTAGAGCATCTACCTAGGGTCATTCTATTCCGTTTCACTCTTGGACTTGCCGCTTTTTGTCCGCGTTTAAGTCCTCTGTATCTCTTAGCTAATTCACTGCGTCATTTAGTTGAGCATCAGGAGAAGAGGACCCTCCTATTAGGAAGCACGCGAGTGAGACGATCATCCTACGCTCGCAGCTCTTCACACATTAAATACCAAGAAATTTTTTTCACCGAACCACACTCATTAAGAGCCACTGGGGATATAACCATTGGTGATGAGACTGCACAGCTCAGTGGGCCTAGACTGCGTTTAGCTCCCTCCCTGCCGGGCATGTATGACCCACGCGCATATAACTTTACATCCTCGGTATTTATCTTGTCCTGGCGCCCATATTTTCAGCTGGCGGCTAAGTATAAGTGACGGTCGATTGAGTTAATGATCAGTGGGCTTCACAGGGGATCTAAGTTAAAGCGAATATTTATACAGATGATTAACCTTGAAATTTCTTTCTCAATCTCAATACTTCTTCAGATCTCGTGCATCGCCTTTGTTGATGGCGTGTCAAGAAAGTCATGTGCGGAATGGTGTCCCATTCCAGTGCGAGCACCGATCTGTCCGATAAGACATGTATTACCGTCATTTTTAGCTAAAATTGACACAGTTAACAAACCACTTCGCTATTTACGCTTACGTCAAGAGATTGGCGTCCATGCTCTAATGCTGACATAATTCTTCGTCGATCTATCTTACTAAGAATCAATCATCTACGTCCTTATGGCTTCAATCCATTTCCTCCGCCACGACTCTTTCACTACTATTCTCTAAGTCCTCGCAGGGTAAATTGCCTTGTCTTATCCTAAATCAGCTCAATATCCGCCCAGCTATTTAATGAGACGTTCAACTTAGTTTTCTTGAGTTTTAGAACACGAGACCCCGTGATCGACGTACCAGTCGACTTTTACTTGTTTTGAATGGGACCAGGAACTCGAGGTTAAATTGAACGTCGCCATAACCTGTGCTTCAAGGAAAACACATTGGCATCCACCATATGGCACCTGGCCAACAACCTTCAGCTACATGTCCAAAGGACTCGAGCGGAACTTCCCGCAAGAGGACAACTAAAGCATGCGACTGGTGTAGGTTGAAGAAATCTAAGGTAAGCTATTTTTTGCTCAATATAACGAGTACTGATCCGATGCACTGACTTATATAGTGTGACGGATCCAAGCCGTGCTACCGGTGCAAGTCGAAGAATGCTATCTGCTCCTTCACCGCCCGAGAGAAAGGCCAGAAAAGTAATTATCCTGAAGGGTGAGCTTTCCGAATCCACGAGCTTTTATCGCATTGAAAGTCTCAAAACTGCCTGTTGCTGATTCATCCGGAAGCAGGTATGCTGAGATTCTCGAGAAGCAACAAGCATGGCTAGTATCCGAACTTCAGAAGCTGTACCAGCAAGCCCTGAAAGCTGAATGCTGGCAAGACAGACCATTATTCCGCAATAATAATGGATACGAATCAACTCACGACTTGCTTGGTCGACTCGGCGTTCCAAATTGTAGCAGAGGCGAGCAATTCCAAGAGAAAATTGGACCCTTGCAGCAGAAACTGTGTTTAGAAAACGATCATCAAGCACGAACCCAGAATCTGACAGATAAAGGCTCGGGGAACGCAGAGTCGCCTTTATTTCCCAGTCCATTTTCCAATTTATCTACGCAGCCGACGCTAGAGATGTTCAACGAACCAATCAGCTTCCAGGAACCTATGATGAGTACATTTGGGGAGCTGGCACAAATGGATCCAATATTTCTCGGGTCTATGATCATGACAATTCCACGGCCCCCTTTCAACCCATGCCCAGCAAACTTTGCTTAGCAAGAAATCTATCTCCAGGCATTCCGGGGGTTGGACTATCATCTGATCCAAGTTACTTGACTTTCAGTCATAAGCCTCACAAATCGCAAATCCCCCTCATCCGTTTTCATGGAGCAGTAAGGGTGAAAAGCGAATTTGTTATAGATACAAACTTGGTTTGTTTGCATTACTACCGCAGTTTCGCATGGCGAAACTAAGCTTAATCTTTGAAGTATTTGAGACTGAAAAACTGCTCTAAGAAAAAAGCACTACTGATCAGCACCAGTGGAGCTGATGGTCGTGATACCTCTACATAGCTATGCAGAGACTCGAAGCCCAGGTTAAACTCTAATTTCTTCATCCTTATAGGATGTTGAGATCCCAAAATCTGCAACCATGTAACGGAATATGCTGCACATGTCTTTAGCAGCGGCCGGTTAAGCGAGGTACTTCGAAAACGCGCGAACCACCCCGCTCCGGGTTGGTATGGCGCGAGGCGAAAAATCGGTCGGTAGGGGTACGGCGAACCGTAGGGTGACCGATGTAGGACGGCGCATTGAGCGTATTCCACATAGAAAGTATCCGAAATCCAGTAATTATAGTAGATACCTTAATACAATATCGATGCCGAGATCACGGTTAAAGCAACCTCGAATTCTGCGACTATAGCTTGGCCGTTAGGAACATCTCGAACAAATTAATCATCTGCTAACCGCTTTGAACCTGCGGGCATCTGGTAGAAAATGTTGAAAATTTATATCTGTACCTTATGCAAAATTTTACTTCTTAGATCATTTATCGTTTGTTCCTTCACATGTATAGCACGATGGAAATTGTTCTTCGGAAATTGAACGTAGAAGCATGCAACTTCAGAGAAAGGTTAAAGGCTTTATTAGTATATCCCTGAAATACAAAGAGTTCGGTACCCTGTGCTTTTAATCTTTACTTACCTCATCTCTATAATTATAAGACTTGTAATTTCTACTTAACCATTGTCAACTGTTTAAGAGCCTTCTTGCGGAGGTAGTTAAAGTCTGAAAGCTGATTGCAAATTCTTCGAATTTCCATCCCGCCGCAAGGGAAAAATATGGTTGTATCAAACCAGCGGGGAAGATGAGAAGCTTTAGATTCCGAATTCTTACACCAAAAAAGGAGAAGTTCTGGTTGTGTAGCCTTTTATCGGCTCAAGCGGGAGTTCCCGTCGAAAAATCCAAGAAGTCATGACCTGAAGGGCGGTCATTGTGCCTACAGTGGAAGGAAAAGAGTTTGCACCGAGGCTCAGAAGAATGATTGGCGGAACATATTGCCGGCCTCTGACATGATCGATCCGAATCAGCTACAAAGGATGAATGATAGCTAGCATGACGGGTAAACCGGATAGTCGTGTGAGCTGAACAGCAACTTAATTATTGCTTATGGTGATAATTAAATTCTCAAGATGTCAGCCACCTTTTGAAGATATCATTACGGTTCAGTTTAACACCTGGTATTAGTTTCTGTGAATCGGTTTCGCTTTCAGTCGCGTCATTAATTCTAGATGACGATGATTGCATTTTAAGGCCACACAATGATACTACTATTACTCATACTCGGTGGAATGCGGATAGCCAGCTCAATGAAGCTAGATTTCAAGAACTGAGAACATTCTACATGCGTAATTATCATATTGTTGCCCAGGATCATCCTTTCCTGGAGCCTTAATATCAGAACTTGAACCTTCCCATCTTCGCCGCTGGTTGTTACTGACATATCTTTTTCATCCGGTGGTATAGCAACCCCAAAAACTGTTATTTACTCTTAGGCTTCAGCTGTCTTCGCATAAAGGCTCTCAAATAGTTAATAATACTCCGGCAGGGACCACAAGTCTCACATTCTCAGAGACCAAGTAGATAAAGATAAAAAGCACAAGTATGAGGCACCTTAGAAAGTAAGCACATAGTAATGATATATTCAAACTTTATCTAAAGCTGCATACTTTTATATCCGGTTTCCAAACAACGATCACTACCGCGCTATGTATGTAAAGGAGCGGACAATAGTTAATTTACAGTCTTAAATTGCGCAAAAGGTACAGATCAATATTTACCGCATATTCTTCCAGATATCTGCAGGCCCAAAGCGGCTAGCGAACGACGAACATTTTCGACAAATTTCTGACGGTCAGGACATGATTGCGAAAATTAGGGATGCTATATCTATTAATCGTGGCATCGATGTTGTATTGATGTATTGTTCATAACTGCGGGGACTCAGAACACGGAACCGAGTTACACTCGAAGTGTTGTTTCACATGGATAGTCTCTACAGTCCGCCGTACTCTTATCGGATAATGGATCCCCTCAATCATTACATAATCCACGATGACTGGTTATTGACCATCAATCAAAAGTGTTATTCGCAGCGGTTCAAGGTATCGTTCTTTGCAAATCAATTCACTCATTACTTCCGAGTCTATATAGAAGTTACTCGCGGCCCAACTACAATCTGGACATAATACCAGTTTCTTGCTATTAGCATGCTGGGCCGAAGGTTCCAAGACTGAATAATGCTTCGATGGCCCTTTTAAAATGATTTCAAGGATTTCAGTTAGCATTAATACGAGTATCCAATGTCCCCTTCCATGACACGAATACAACTGGTTGGGCGGTCTCCAATAGAAGTTTCATATACATTAAGCAGCGCAGGGTCCAAGGTTAAGGGAGCAAATAGTCACTCGTCAGTGGCTGACTCCGGATATATATAATCTGCTCCCCAGCAGTCACCATGATTAAGGGATGGGGTATTTGACAATTACAGATAGAGTGGACCAGTATTGCCAGTATTAAAAGACCCTAAATTGTAGTGCTGGAGATTCCCGTCGGCAGTTTCCATACTTTCAGCTTCTACTGGTACTTAATGATTTAATACTGATTTTTACTTACCGTGCCGGATTAAGATTATAGACTATATACTAAGCAAATTACTGCATGGCCAATTATAGCAAGGTCAGTTAAGTAAAAGAAGAATAAAGAACTGTTTGGCTGCATAGATTGTAATCATCTCATCCTTTCCTGCAACTGCAAGTTATTGGCATGTATCAAGAACACAAGGTCTTTCTCTTGTGCTTTATGAATATAGCCGGCAGCCTCCGACTCAGAAAGTTGTTCCTCTTCGCCAAGATACACGAGTAATAATACTGCAGCAATGCCAGTCAATATAAAACGTGCGACCTGTTGCAGTACAAAATACCTGCTCAGGTTAACAATTGAACACCATAGGCTGGAACAGAACGCTTTCGAGCCGTGATCTAAGTGTCTATTAGTAACCCAAAAGTTAAGCCCCAAAGCTATAGAAGATCGGGCAGTAAAGTTCAGTAGTTGCCATAATCTATTTTAAGTTAGAAATTGATTCAGATCTAGATATGCTCAATCAAAACAGTATGTATTAAGAGGATTCAAGCTTACCGGTTAATCTTGCTAGGAGCCCAGATAATAGAGTACAAAAAGCATCCTTACTTAATCTTGTTGTAATTCGACATAGTCAAGAACGGAATCATGCTTTGCATTAAGTACAGTGTTCTTTGAAAGTAAGATATGATCATCAAGATCTTCGTCCTATTGCTCATGGCGCGTCTGCAAATGTTTAGCTCCAATAGCAAGGACTAGGTTGAATATCACGAGCCAGCTTTGAGGAGGGATTGACAAGCGACTGCGAAAGGCATTCTCGTACTGCTGGCAAAACAAAGGTTTGAGTAGCAGTGGAAACGTTGAATGTATGGAAGAGAAGTGAGTTTGTAGCAGTTGATCAGCCCAAGGCTTTGGTGGCATTGCATAGGGATCACCATAACTCGGTTCTGCTATAACCAAATTGTCGAGGTGGTAATTAAGAGAAGCGAGACTTCCTTTATCATGTTTGACGTGCTGTTCGGTACCGGGACGTTCTAAGCCGCCGACTTCGGCGTCAAATCTCGGGAGCCAAGCAATGTTAGATCCTTTCTCTATAAATCCTGTTGATCTGCTTTGCCTATCTCTGTCCACATCAACATTAAGTCAATTTCGCCGAGGGAGTCCATCGACGAAGAAGATGAAAGAGAAAGAAATCTTTGAGGCTCTTCTAAAGCATGGGATATCGATGTAAGAGGCCAGTACTAATGTTAAATGCTTTATCCCGATGTTCAGAGTAAAGGTTTACCTTTAATGAATTCGCTATGTGATCAGAGACCTTCGAACAGAATTTAGTGGATAGCTCCATGACTGACTGTTCATAAAAGGGACGTTTTTGAAGATCCTGGTATGTGGCTCAGCCTGCCCTTGTGTATTTTTTTGGCAGCCGGGTTGCACAAATAATTCCCTGATGGGGTCATGCGCAAGTCAAGTTGTCGTCTATTTCGATTGTGTCGTACCTGCAGCTTCTGCTGCATTTGAGATTCAATCTTTGGAGTCAAAGCCGATTTATCTTTCGCTTCATTAGCCAATTTGATTTGATCAAGTAAAAAGTAGGCTGAATCCAATTCCTGTTCGATACGACGCAGTGCAAGCTTCCTTCGTCTATCAGATTCTTCCATGAAATGACAGTCTGCGCCTGTCTGCAGACATCGATCAAATCACACGGAAGCTCTCCTAGACACTGTAAGTGCTCTCAATAAGATGTCTTCAAGACGGGATATTTGACGTTTCACTTTTAATTTCCTCTGCTTGCATGCTTCACAGGCATTTGTTCTTTTCGGATTGGCTTGATGACAGTGTCTTGAACTAAATTAATGGCAGGATAAATGGCAAGGGAGCTAATGTCCGTAGCTGGAGCAAGAGTCTATAGAGCCTGACTGTATGAAGGTTCATTTTCCCATGAAATATCAAGCTTCTGGTAGAAAATGTGGTGACTTGGATAATTGAAGTTGTAGGCAATCCAAACGGAGATAAAGTTACGACCAAGCGGTGCGGGGTTAATGATGTTACTTTGTTCTCGAGTGGCCAATAGCGTGGTGAGATACTTTCGAACGAACGCATTCTATTCCGTCGCTTGGTAGGATAATCTTCATGATTACAAGTAACATTCCCAAATATTCTCCTCTCCAGGGTGTCTCTGTATGTTTGAATAGTTTTGTTTTTATTTGTGCTTTTGTATACTGGGAATTTTGAGGAACAGCGAGGAGCTGGAGATCTAGCCGAAGCGGCTATACATCAGCTAGAATCCAGATTCCATTTGTCTAATCACTTTCACTGGTATCACAAGAAACCCGCAGTTACTTGTAATCACAGGGAACCTTACCCTCCAACCAGATAGCTGACTGCAACTTATCCATGTCTCACAAGTACATGTAAGTGGACTTAGAAACCAAGAGGTAAATGGATTTAGCAGTGACAATCTAGGCCAACTTGGGGTCCTGGTCCTCCATCTCTCTGTCAACAAAAAACCCTCTGCAAGGAGATTAGTTGACCGCAGAACAAGATTTCCCACGCCTGCGGGCATGAGTTAAGAGTTCTGCAGAAGTTACACAGCACAGAGAGAAGCGTAACCACGCTTGATGTGACAGCGGGGACTACAGTGTAGGTTGCACGAGTGCACCAAGACATTTGCCACCGGTATCATCTTTCGCGGAAGATTGCAGCAATGACATCTGGATTGCGTGAGCTGGAGTCTCGAATCCTATATATGAAATACGGTGATTCGCAAGGATACATAATCCGACGCCACTGCCGTGCACTGTGCGTGGCCTTTTCACCACCAACAAATCCCTTTCTGTACTCGAGTTCTGGATCCTTTCCCAAGCTTCATGAAAATCCGTTTACCTTGCTTGCGTTGTGGCCCGTCAAGACCTCCTAGAGGAGGGGGACCCGCTCAGCCTGCATTGAGTAATCCCCACTCAGCGAGGGGTAGTCGTAGGCTCATCTATATAATCCTTCCGTGGAATCGAACCGAATTTGGCTATCAATGATAGATGGAGAAGTACTATGTGTTGACGAGAAGCTTTGAAAATTTTGTAGGCACCGCCCGTACACCATACAGGGTACCACGTCGAGTCATGATCTCAACCTCCCCCATTTTAGATTTTCTCCTCGTGGGAGTTATTTGTACTTCAGCTACAGCCATCTGAGATCATCTTATCGCCAGAAACGTCGACAGCTAGTGAAGTTCTCCACCCTACACCAAAGCTATGAGCCTGAGTGCTGAGACATCCCACGGTTGCATCGAGGCAGAGAGCAGAGCAAAAGATACTCTGTAAGCACACTATTTCATGTTTACAAGGAAATTATCTGTATTGAGCTTGCACACAGCTGCCCCACCTCCTATATGCGACATGCAGGTTTGACCCACACTCTGGGGGGTGGGTTGGGCTGGGCTTGTGCGCACTCGTAGCCTCTAAAACGGGCCGTTCTTTAGGGGGTCCTGGAGCCAATGAGTTAAGCTAGGCAATGGGGGAACGGGAAGAGGGAGTCGAGAATATGTAACCATCGGTAGTCGCCTAGCTGTTGCGTGCTTCGCGCTCGATACTCGTATTACTGTGCTACATTGATTTGTGGTAAGTCGGTCAATAAAGTCGAGGAACGGGAACGGGATACCAAACAAAAAAATGGGTGAAGGGCCGTGGATTTAAGTTGGAAGGGGGGAGACGGTACTCAGTCTGTAACAGACCGTTTTGATGAATAGTAAGTTGAATAGCAAGTTAAACTCTTGATATCATTGATATCATTGTTCCGCTAGACGAATCTTATTGGCGGAACAAACTCCGTGGACTCGAAGCGAAGAACATCGGTAGATTAGTCATGCAGGTGCTGGTTGCAGTCGAACAATAAGAAAATACTACATTAGGATATGGTCAATAGAATCAAATCATGAATAGACTCAGTACTGTGTACAGTCAGGAAGCAGAACTCAATGCATCCTTCTAGACACTTAGCTGCATCTGTGGTCAAATCAGTCGTACAGTACTTCCGCAGACGAATCCTCCCTCCCTACCCGGGCGGATGAGGCGGAGCCAGCAGATCGACTGGAGACGTCATTTTTCATTCGCCTCGCGGTCCAAGATGTCAACTCGACCCATTTTGGACTCATCGGGTCCAGCCTCCGGCTCATAGACACGGCCAATCAGGCCGCAAGGAGCTATGCACCCTCTACTGTCAAATGTTGTTCCATCGTTCCTTGGACTGCCCTCACTGCAAAAATCTCCGCCCTCTGCTATGAGAGCCGACCCCTACGAAGATCGACCTCCCCCCTTCCGTGCCGGGAAATCCTCCATCTAATCCTTCATCTGTCGAGCCTGCCTTAGATATCCTTGCTAACTGGCCCGCATGCATTGTCATTGTCAGGCCGTGGGTTGCGGAAGTCTGCGTGGTCCCTGATAAGTATGGTGTTTTCTCACTGCACACATCGGCCTATCTACATCAAACTTTTCCCACTGTCCCACCTGGCAATAGACTTCCTGCATACTGACGATTGGTGAGCCGGGAAGCAATCTTCCTGTCACTTTCCTATACATATATAGTTACACAGGTCCTTTCTTTTCGGTCTGACACCTTGCTGCGGCATTATCCTGTCGATATATCTAAGCCCATTGAACTGCGGCCCCTTCATACATACCTTCCACAAAAATTACCTCTGGCAGACTCTAAAGAGAGCCAAACCAGGCCAGCCCACCATGCCCGAGCATTTAGACCACTCCTCCATATCGGGAGCCTTGTTAAAAACTGATATCGCCTGGACAGGCCCGATGCCATTCCTCGTGGAAAGCCCCCTCTCCTCCGACTTCCTGACGATGCCATTATTCGACGGGATGCAAGAATGGTCAACGAGCGGCAGCACCCCGGGGGTACCGGCCCCATCCGCAGAGGGACTGGATAACTTCCAGCAGCAACAACAACATCAACACCAACAAACCTTCATGGACGCCCTCATTGAGTCTAACCTCTTCTCACCGGATCAACCAATTCCTCCGTACATGCGCCAGTACCCTCACCAACACCTCGCATTAAGAGACGCTCTCCTTGACGGTAGCACTACGCCTCCCCACCACCCCTTCGCCGCAAGCCCCCCTTCCTGCCCCGTGCCCATGCGCGAGCTCACCCCGCGCAGCAGCATCAGCGAATACTCAAAGCGCAGCTACGGCAGCATCAGCAGCATCAGCAGCGGCAGCTCCGCTGGCAGCGCGGGAAGCTACTGCCACGCGACCTGGCGACCGAGCGACTTGTTGGCCCAGCATCCGTGCAGCTATTCTCCCGACCGCGAAACAGTCAAAAAGCAGAAGCGCGAGCGGTTCCTGGAGCGCAACCGGATCGCGGCCAACAAGTGCCGGCGTAAGAAGAAGGAGCACATGCGCCAACTCGAATGCAAATGCTTGGATGTGACGCAGGCCAACACGCGGCTGGAGAGCGAGGTCAGCCAGCTGCGCAGCCAGATTCTGGAGCTGAAGAACGAGCTCCTGCAGCATTCTAGGTGCGATGACCCGGGCATTAAGGCGCATTTGGCACGGATGGTGGCTAGTTTGTCGAAACGCAGTGCGTCTGTGGTGTCTACGAGGGGTAGCGAGGCGGATATGAAGCTTTCGGACGGGGTATCGGGGCGGGGGGAGTCGGTTGCGTCGATGCGGAAGGCAAACAGTGAGAAAGTGGAGGAGGCTGCGTCTGGGTTTAAGGATATGGTTGTGCTACCTGCTGCTGCTACGAGTGGCTCGAAGTTGGAAGAGGAGA